ACTACACTTCCACTTTAAGTGTTTTCTCCCCAAAAGTACAGCTAGAAAAAACATTAAAAGAAAAAAAAATCTAAATTAAAATTAAATAAAAAATTAAAGAATGAATGAATAAATGAAATGCGCTGAAATTAAATAAAAATAAACTTATTTTGTCAACTAGTTGCCAAGTGTCAGACTCTGTTCCATGTTTTGTCTGTGTCTTGCTCCCCAGGTGTTCCTTTCCCATGTTTAATTTGTCCCAGGTGTTCCCCATGATGGTTCATTCCTCCCAGGTGTGTCTCGTCATCCCCTCCTCCTGTGTGTATTTAAAGTGTTCCCAGTCCCTTCCACTGTTACCACTGTTAAATGTCTTCCTGAGTTCGTCTACCTTGGTTCCTGTAAATAAAGTCTTGGTACCAGCGTCGCAGTTCGTCTACCTTGGTTCCTGTAAATAAAGTCTTGGTAAAGTATTTTCCAGCGTCGCCTCGTTCCTCGTGTGTGTGCACCGTGACACCAAGGCAAGATTTCTCATTTTCATTTGGTTTAACTTGAAGTACTAAAATAACTAAACTAATAAATAAAAATGACTAAAAAAATGCATATTTAAAAAAACTACAATAATAAAAATGATAAAAACACACAACAGCGTTACAAAAACTTAAAATAAATAAAAATATAAAAAGTTACATTTAATTCAAAATATTAACAAAAACTATAGTAGTATATTAATGAAAATACAATAAAAATCACACACACATATATAACATTTCACATGTTTGTTTAGTTTAACTTTAAGTAATAAAATAACTAGAACTAAAAGTAAGAAATGAAAATTAATAAACTAAATAGACATAATAAAAATCACAAAAACGCAACATTACAAAAACTTTAAATAAAATTTAAATGAAAACAAAATAGAAAATTTAAATTATTCAAAATATTAACAAAAATACCAACAAAACTATAACAGTATATCAATGATATTAAAATAATAATAATATTTGTGTATAAATGTGCTGTTTATTAATAATGTTTTGTGTGTGTGTGTATAAAGTACATTCAGAAAACAATGACTAATTAACACAAAAATCTGTGTGATCTACTCATGAGAATCATGATGAATTTGACAGTCAGTATTTTAGTTAATTATTGGGTTCAGAGGGCGGGACTTGAATTCAGGGCTGCTCTGATTGGCTGGTTTTACAGGTGGGCACGCAGCTGATTCGTGGCATTTCAGGCGGAGAGAGGAAGAGGACGAACATCGGCATGGAGCTGATCATTGATCCGCCGGTGCTTTTCCTGGACGAACCCACCACCGGCCTGGATGCCAGTACAGCCAACTCTGTCCTCATGCTGCTCAAGAGGTGCGTTTGTACACGGGACGCCCCACGAAACCTGTCATATTCCACACCTGAACCACAAGAAAGATATGTGCATTTGAATTTATTTAAAGGTAGGGCTGGGCGATATGGCCCCAAAAAAAAATGATCACGGTAAAATCAGTCGATATCGATAATTATCACAATAAGTTTCAAATCTTTATTTCTTTAAAGTTTAAAGGCAGATTTTTGCTCCTAAGTGAAAGTTGTTGAAACCAGAACATTAATTGTGGTTTTAAACGACTCTTATAAAACGGAGAGTTCCGGTGCTTGATTCTGATTGGCTGAGCCGTGTTCGAAGCTGTTGTTAATTATTCTACAAAGTAACATACACCTTTGTTTACGTTTGTCTGTTGCTCGGCAACCACTTTGTTGGAACCACAGCCGTTTCTGAGGAGCTACATTGTTTGGCGGAAGAATACTGTTTTTATTAATATCATTACACTTTATTTGCTCTGTTTTATTTTGTGAAACCTTACTACGTATATGGAATAACCGTTTTATAAAAGCAATAAGCCCCATGAAGCCGTGGTTTACAGTGA